GTGCCACTGACTAAATTTGTCACCTCCTCAAAAGGACGCATGAGCCTACAGGCATTGCGCATGAGCGTCCAGTAACGTGGCAAAAAAATTCCCAGCTCCCCAGAGGCTGTCCTAGCACCCCGGTCATACAAATATTCATTAACGGCTTTTCTTGTTGGAGCAGGCGGTCGAACATTAGGAGTGTTGAATTCCAACGTGTCGGGCTGTCGCAAATCAAGCGCCTCACTGGCATGTTGTTTCGCCGCTGGATATCGGCAAAGTGAGCCATGGCCGTGTAGGAACGCCTGAAATGGCCACACACCTTCCCGGCCTGCTTCAGGACGTCCTGTAAGCCTATGTACTTATGCACAAAGCGTTGTACGATCAGATTACACACATGTGCCATGCACGCACATGTGACAACTTGCCCAACTTCAATGCCGCTAACAAATTTGTTCCGTTGTCACAAACCACTTTGCTGATATCCAGTCGCTGCGGAGTCAGCCACTTTTCCACCTGTGCGTTCAGGGCGATTGCGGGCGCTTTCTGTCCGTGTGACTCTCTGCTTTCAAGCAAGTCAAACCCAAGACGGCGTGACACTGCCGTATCCGGGATGTGGAATAGTACCTGTGGAGCTGGGGGGGTGCCGTTGATGTGGAGCAAGACGCAGCAGCAGAAGAGGACTCAGCCGAGGAGGTTATGGAAGAGGATGGAGTAGGAGGAGTAGAGGGGGTGGCAGCAGGACTGCCTGCAAGTCGTGGCGGTGTCACCAACTCCTCTGCAGAGCCATGCATTCCATGCTTGGCAGCAGTCAGCAGGTTTACCCAATGCGCAGTGTAGGTGATATACCTGCCCTGACCATGCTTTGCAGACCAGGTATCAGTGGTCAAATGGACCCTTGCCCCAACACTGTATGCCAGAGATGCTATTACTTCCTTTTGCACAATTGAGTACAGGTTGGGGATTGCCTTTTGCGAAAAGTAATTTCGGCCGGGTAGCTTCCACTGCGGTGTCCCAATAGCTACAAATTTTTTGAACGCCTCAGACTCCACCAGCTTGTATGGTAAAAGCTGGCGGGCTAATAGTTCGGACAAGCCAGCAGTCAGACGCTGGGCAAGGGGTGACTTTCTGACATTGTCTTCTTACGCTCAAACATGTCCTTGACAGACACATGACTGTGGGAAGATGAGCGTGAACTGCTCAAGGCGGGAGGCGGAGTGGCGGATGGTTGAGAGGGGACAAGGAGGACAGCAGTGGTTGACGCGGCTGAAGATGCTGGACCAGGAGGAGGCTGGCGGCTTAGAGTAGGCGAGCTGCTTGTACTCATGTGTTGATCCCATAGGCGTTTGTGATGTGAGATCATGTGCCTACGCAAAGCAGTTGTACCTAGGTGGGTGTTGGACTTCCCACGACTCAGTTTCTTTGGGCACAGGTTGCAAATGGCATCGCTGTTGTCAGAGGCAGACACACAAAAAAAATTCCACACTGCTGAGCTCTGCAATGACGGCATTCTGGTGGTGGACACAGCATGCGCTGATTGGCGTGCTGTCGGGCTGACCCCGGGTGTCGATGCATGCTGTCTGACTGTGCCACTAGCTCCTTGCGACGACCTCCCCCTGCTTCCAACTCGTCTCCTCCTCCTCCCTGTCTCCCATCTGAACTT